TGTTATTGCACTCTGAAATCACCAAAGGCAATAAACTCCTGCAAAGCCCTAGCTCCTACCCTGACATAGAAATGAGGATGTTATTATGGTTTTCCTTTAAGTGCCCAAGGACCTTTACTCAGCTCACACCAAATGTGACTATTCAGCTTCCCCTGTCAGCAGAACCATCCTGCATTTCCCTTGTTTCTGAAAAATGGGTGCATTTCCTTTCTGCCCTTTGAAAACTCATCCCAAAGCCAGAATTCGCTTTGCCTAACAAGGTGGAAACTTCAGTCCAAAGCAAGGAACTTGCTGCTGGAAAGACTTTTGGCTGCAGAGTTTTGTCAGATCTGTACATGGTGAAAGTTGTTCATCAGAGCAGAGTGAGGCTGGTTTATGTTCCTCCTTTTTCTTGTCAGGGGAGTTAAGGGATTTGTTTGGGGGTTTTTGTTTTTAAATGAAGCCTTTCAATTGTAGTTCAAATTGGTTTCCCACTTCCTCTCTTCCATACTGCCTTCTTTTTTTATCCCCTTTCCTTTTTCTTTGCCTTCCTTAAAATATCAGGAACAGCTATTCAAGTTTCCTTGACTTTTCTGACAAACCTCAGAGATATCTTCTGGGCTTTCATATCGTTACAGGCTGAACAGATACTTTTTGTTCCCAAATATTAAATAGCCATTGAAATGAAGTATTTATCATCAACAAAAGCCAAGTTCGAGCAGCCCATCAAAAGCACAAAATAAAATTGTTAACAAATTACAGGCACACATTTGTTCCTGAGAAGCAGAAAATACCTGATTGGGCTTTTTCCCAACATTGTTCAAAAGTAGCTCTGTTTTCTTGCACAGGTATACAAAGATGATGCAGTTAACCCAGCTTGGGTCAGTTTTGTATCACTCTGCTTGCCTTTGCCTCTTTCAGTGGTTCTCCATCACTACCATCTAGTCCCTTACTCTTACCTCCAGTAGTTTAGCACTGGAAGGAAGGAAGTATTACCAGGACTAAGGAAGCTTGAGCAATGTCCTAAACATACCCCAGGAGAGCAGAGCAGCCTTCAGTTCCCATGTGTGCATCACCCTGCAGCAGCAAGCAGCATCCCCAGCCCTAGGAAGCTGGGCAGCTTTTCTGCTTTTCTCCAGGTGGCAAAGGCCAATCCCTGTGGAATTCATTAAGGAGGAGAGCAGGTGTTGACAGTTTCTTATGCAAAGCAAATCTCACATGAGTTCTCCACTTTCTCCTAAGTTCTGGGGGACTGATGTTGTCCTCTGATGATTGTAATTTGGGAACAGAAGAAGTACTCAAGTAGCTGTTCATTAAAGATAGACAGCAAATGTATGCTTACATATTGCTGAGAAAAACTGCATGTTTTCTGCTTTACTCATTTTTGTTTCAACTGGTGGCCTGACATTTAATCCCAGCGAAGCTGTGAGCTATGCTTTCACTGTTTGAGCTGGGAAATGTCACTCTGCCACAGCGCTGCATTCACCAACTCTAAAGCAGCTTTTACCAGCAGTGGTGCCATGTGCCAGTGTTCCCAGTACGCCAGGCTGCTGCCTTAGCTTGTTTTCTTTCAACAGTTGTAGATGAAACAGAAAAGGAAGAACTAGTCCATTTTTAGAGGAAAGTGATTAATATGTAATTAGATTTAGAGAGGCACCAAGAATAAATGTTGTATTTGGATCCTTTACTTTTAAACCTCCGTTAATATACAGGTTGTTGAGTTTTATTGTACTGTTTAAAAGTGGTTACATTGACGTGGTAGAGGATTTTAATATGTAGGATTTACTTTATAGACCTAGAAGTGGAGGCAAATGCAACGGTGTAGTGACCTGCAGCACTGCCTTCTGGAATGATCCCTTACAGCTTGCTGGCAACAAAGTCAGATAGCCACAGAAATCCTTGGGCAGCTCAGAAGGTCACAAAGGCTCCTTCTTTCCCTTTCTGCTGCCTCACCACAGAAGGCTGAACCAAATAAACTAGAGATCCGCAGAGACACAGTTCATGCAACGCAAACATTCTACAGGCAGCCTTGTAGCTAAAGTAAATAGATACTGGGAGACGCTTACCCTGCGTAGCTGGTTGACCTTGTAGAGGCCATCGTCCTTTCTTGCCCAATAGGTGCTTGCTTTTTCTCCACAGCATATTAACAATTGCCACTGGATTCCCTGGGAGATACTTGCATTCTGCTGCAGGGTTAAAAACAAAAGCTTTGGTCTTGCCAAGGTGGAAAACATCAATCCTGCAAAATTTACTTTTGAGCAGTGTTTTGAGATTCACTGGTAGGACAGTTTACCTCCTCTTACACGTTTAAGGGTGAATAGAGGTGATTCAGTTCCTTCCCACCATCAACAAGTTTGCATGCTGGAAGGAACTGAACAGCAGCCTTTCTAGATTATAGCTTCCACTTACAGCGTGTCCTCATCTTACGATGTACACACTCGCTGCCTCAGGATTTTCCCCTGTATCCCTTGATGAATGTCTGATACTGTATTCCAAGCCGCAGGAAAGCTGGTCTCCCTTCGTGCTGGCAGTGTGAGAGGGAGTAAGTAGGACTGGTCAGACCAGATTTCTGGAGGGGAATTGCCACTCCAGCACGTGAGCAACTGCACCGGCTCCAGGTAGGACACGTCTCCAGGCACACACAGAAGGTTAACTGAAGGTTAGTTTTTAAGGATCAGAAAGGTGGGTTAATAGTTCTGACTTGCAGATCACAACCCCAAATTCAGATAGGGATCTATTTGTCTGTTGGCTTCAGCAGGTTTGTACCAGTGTCTTTTCAGGGGACAGTTCCTAAACCCCAGCATTTTAGATGGGAACATCTATAGTCAGAGTATTTTGTGGGCATTTTGCATACAGAGGTCCTACAGAGTCCCATCTGTTTTGTCTTGTTTGAACTGGTATGTGTGGAAGGGGAAAGAGCAGAGGACATGAGTTATAATCACATCATGGGTTTTGAGAGATGCCTAGTCCATAACTTTCCTGGTTCTTTTTCCCACATACAAGTACTTTTCCATGAATCCAGGTGAATCTGAGAAGCAGCTTACAAGTTATAAACAGTCAGTAGAAGGTATAAATTGAGTGCATCATATCAAAACCTGGATCTAGTAGAGGTATTTTATTATGATTTCAATTTTGATTATTGCTTTTCTGTTTTGCACCTCACCAAAGTAGTAACAGCAACTCAGTGTGGCCTTTAGAGCTACGTATAGAGTCACAACTAGACCCATTTACTATTATTCAATTACATGAACTTAGTTTGGAATTCATGCTAGCATTTACTTTGTGTGTGCACCTAGACACAGGAATACCAAATACCAAAAAGACTGGAGCTCCCAGCCAAGTTTAATAAAGGGAGGGGGAAGTAGGATGAAGCGTATGGCACTTAAATAAATGTATGGCCATGAATGTAATACTCCAGCTTCTGGGCTGAGGAGAATGTAGGATGTCCTGACCTGACCTAACTCTCATCTGTGGCTGGTATTTTTTTGTGTCAGACTATGGAGAGCAAGGGACTGATGTCAAGCTCTCTCCTTGCTTCAAACAAGTGGGTTGAGCTTTCAGAGTAGATGGAAGCCGAAAGAGTGCAAAGCCAGAAGGTGGAAGGGTGGCTGGGAACAGGGATGCAGGGGGAGACAAATACTAGAGCTCACAAAGAAAACCAGGGGAGAGAGGATGGATGGGATACATCTCAGACTGCAGAGAAACATCAAAAGGGAAGAGACTTAGGAAAGGACAGGGGAGAGGACTAATGCAACAGAAAAAGGGCTTGGGGAGCAACGAAGGTGAAACAGTATTTGTACTCCAGGTAGCTCTACTGAAGGAAAGGGAAAGAAGAGTTTCTGTTAGCAGCAATGCATGTTTTTATCTGTTCACTTAAAGCTGAATTTTTAATCTGAAATCAGATTGAATATTCAACTCACCAGAAAAACCCAGCAGTAAATCACTTTTTTGGACTGTTTTGGTGCTTCTCACGCACTTGCCTAAACAGATTCTGCAGCAGGGACATTCCAAATTGATCCCTATGTTTACACTACAGTAACAAATGCAATTACAAAGGGAGATACCCAAACGTGCCTTCATTTAGGTATCAGTAGCCAAGTACCGGCAGCACAATCAACATCAGTGCAAATTAATCAAACTTGACAAGAAATAGGCCATGATTTTGTAAAAGAAGGCTTTCTTTCACATAACCCCAGCTGTGCAGCAAGGTGCTGATTACGTGGCAGCAGGTAAATTTAGTAAGAAATCCCTTGCCTGAAACCAATTTGGATACCCAAGAAGAGTGCCTTAACATAGCCTGCTTCAAACCTTCTGCTTTTAAGCAATCTGCTTTTCTCTTTCCCAATGCCTAACACTGGAAGACCACTTTCTGCTGCTGTTAACATTTATAAGTGAACTTGAGATCATCCACTACAAGGACAGGACGTGTATTTGCCAAAACACCTTCCTTCTGTCCGCCCGTTTCTGTGTAATAGTGGTTATCAAAGAACAACAAAAGCAGTCGTGCGTATCAGTTAGATTCTGATGAAGGTCCTAATTCACCAGCACATTTTCGCTGAGCTCCTGTGTGTTTTACTGACTTAAGCCAAAGTTCAAGAGGTTTATAAGTAGTTCCCAGGTTTGGTAATCCTAATTAAACTTCTTTGGCCCTAAGCTGTGCACGAATCCCATTACTAATACAACACAAAGCTGTGAGGGAGATTAGGAGCTGGTTTAGTTGTATACGCCTGAGTCAAGAATTCTGCTTCCTTCATAGAAATGATTAACTGCGTCCTCTCAGAGCTCTTCTCCTCCTCAACGTGTAATGAATGATCTTTTTTGGCAGCTACTTTGAAATAATGTCTTTTGTTTGCCCCATGTCTCCCATTTTTCTTCATATTCACATGCCTCTTCCGTGCTTTCAAATACCTTTGGCAATACTTTGATTTGTAAATGGAATGTGACATGAATATACACACTTCACTCTTTACCCTGTGAGAAACCTCATGTTTTACTTGTGTCAAATGTTTCATCTCTTTTAGATATTGTGCAATGGACCAGGAACATGTGTTCCTGTCTGTATATCTGCTCTTCTCCTTGGGCTTCTAGGAATAAAGAGAGCAATCATTGTGTATGTAGAGAGCATCTGCCGCGTGGAAACTTTATCCCTCTCTGGAAAGATTCTTTACTACTTGTCAGATTATTTCATTGTTCAGTGGCCTAATCTAAAGGAAAAGTACCCAAAGGCAGTGTATCTTGGTCAAATAGTGTAACCACGGAAGACACGCTTTACCTAAACCAAACTCTGCAAGCTCCTCACTGAAGAAGTGCATCCCTCTAGTAATTCATCCTCAAGGATTCCTGTTAAGAAATTAGGCTGGTCCTGGAGGAGGAGACAATAATAAAGATATCTCTACATTTAAGTACGTTTTTGTGTAGTTGTT